CGGGGGCCCGCGGCCCGCGCTGTCCGGGTGGGCGAGGGGTCCCTGCTAGCCCTCACCGGTGGCGGGAAGCGCGCAGCAGCTCCGTCACTCCACCCGGGCCCGGGCGGATTGGGCAGCCCCGGGGCGGCCGCGGAAAGTTTGTCCACGTTCCCTTTGGCGTAGCTGGGTCCCGCCTCGGCCTTTCGGGCGCCGGGACTGGCGAAAGGGCTTTGACCGTAGGGGACCTGAGGGGTGTTAGGGCGCTGTGCGCGCATGGTGTCCTCGGAGTTGGGGAAGCAACTTGTCTTTGCAAGGCGGGGGAACGCAGCCCGTGTGAGGGGGCAGAGCGGCTGGTGGGAGGGTGGAGCAGTTTCAGCTTGATAATAGGGTTAAAGTCGAACGTCAACGTTTAGTTCCATTCCTTGGCGCTTCAGTAGATTCGTGCTTTTTGTCATAACACCGAAAGGAAACCCACCTAAAATGCAGTGCTTCATCCCCTTCCAGTAAAACTTCGGACCTTTCAGAATACATATATGCTCAGTCTTACTGTGGTCTTGTATGCCAAGTGCATGTTAAACTATGTAGCACATGATACATCTCTGTAACCTTTTCCCTTCTCTCTCTTTCCTCTTCAGATTGTAGTTGAGTATTGTAGTTCGCTTCATGTAGTGGGAAAATTTATATTTATAACTGGTAAAAAAAATGACAAAAAAGTAGGGCAAGGCACTGCAACTGCTTGTAACTGACACTCAGTTTCATGTCCCTTTTGGTTTCTTCAGGTTTACCCGAGTCAGAAATGTCTCATCTGCTTTTATCCAGTATAATGTACAGATACCAGAAAGCATAAATCGTGCTGTTAGGCTGGGAGGAAAAGTTTGGCTTTGAATTAAACATGTTAATTATGTGTCCTATAAGTCAAAAATACAGTTCTGTTGGAGGAGCAGAGGATGCTTGGGAAGCAGAGAATGGTGCAAGTATTTTGAATGATGTGGATACTCTTTATCCTCCTTAAAAGAAAAGAATGATTCTAGCTACAGCTGGGAATGTTTGAAAAGCTGTTACACTAAAATTAAAGCACTTGTGCTGTGTGTTTTAAAGTGTGTTTGTCTTGTGTAAGCTCTTTCCACCCAGCATTGTCATGTATGCATCTGTACTTTCTTTGGCTTTCTTAAGCACCAAGTCAAGTTGAGCTTTTCTGTAATTTGTTGTGGTGTATTATGGCACCGTTAGCCTGTCTTACATGGCTCTAAAAGTGTAAGTGTTTTTAACCTGTGGTCACATTAGACTCTTTGAATTCCTTTCTATTCTCTGCTCCTAGAAGTGAACAAAGCCATGAATCCTTTAATGATGTGCTTCTGATTATGGGAAGGATCATCTACTTATGTGGTAAAACAAGCATGTCAGAAAAACATTCAGTGGCTTTTTTGAGGTTCACCAAACTCAGTAAGGATAGAAGCATTCATGACTTCCAAGCAATACTGAACATCAGCATTGTCATGTTATTCTGAGGTTCATGGAAGAAGAGGAGAGTGGTGGGATAGGATCATGTTGTTCCATAGGTTTCAGATGACCAGAAATGGCTCCAGAACTATTAATGAGAAAGAATACTTTCATAAAGTTACGTGAGGAGCTGGTCCTCACGCTTCTGCACCAGCGTTCTCAATGGCGTGCACCAGTGCTGGTGTAGGAGCAAGTAACTATTGTGCTCTGTTAATGGGTTATCTCAGACAGGTGCAAATGCCATACATGCTTGGTGTTGGCAAATTGGTTGTTGGGTGACTAGGATGATTTCTGAAATAATTTTATAAGGGTGCCTGAAACAAAAGTTGGGTTTGGGAAAATTGCTTGCTTTGTTAAAATGTAGTGAGTCATTGCATGTTTCTGTAACATACATCCTCTAAGGAGTGGTAGTTAGGCAATACCATACTTACTCCTGGTTCTGAAGTGACTGACAGACGGCAAAGGGAAATCTGTGAACACAAGCGAGGAAACGTTCTTGTAGTGAGGAGTTCTAGTATGCGGCGGGCGGAGGAAGCAAGCAGCCGATTCAATGTGAATGATAGAGCAAGCTTCAACTTTATTGAAAGAAATCACACCTTATATAAGCACTCTACAATAATCATGCATACTACTCACAAATCTATTGGATACATGTAAAAGGCTACATTATAATATCCCAGCCCCTTGTGGCATCTCAGGCATGTCACAACATCTTCCCTCTTCTGAACCTGTTTTTCTCCCAGGGCTGTTCCTTTATCATACACAAAGTTATAATGTACCTCACTTTCTCTCTTTGTTAACATAACAGTTCTTTGTTAGCATAACTGTACCCTGGGTTTTTTCCTTTGTTTACCTCAGATGGCTGCAATCAGCTTCTGCATAGTATATGTACTCAAGGAAACCAGCATCTCATGCCTTTCTAGTCACACCTTTACTAGTTTTTGTATGGGAGAAAGATTGGAAGGTAAGGTGAACCCACTTTCATGGCTTATGAAAACTCAACCAGACAGACTTCAGGAAAGGAGTGTTCAGTGGTGCGGTTAGCCATTTTAAGAGCAGCGTAGCATGCACTTGGCTGTCTGAGGACAAAGTGGAGAAGCAGCAATTTTGACAGTAGTGTGTTAAAAGTTTTGTCTGCAGTTATCACATGGTATACTTTAAGCACAGAGTTACACCTGAGCATTTTCATGCAGACTGGATGCAGTATATTGATGTGTTGTTGAGCACAGCCTCATGGTTCCATATTTGTGTTTATTGCAGAGATGTGGTATGAACTGATATCATGATTGTGCAGGTGTTCTTTGAGTAACTGATTATATTTGCCATGAAGCTTCCTGTATTGGTTTTCTTAGCTCTCCACGGAAGTTTGAAGCTTGTGAAGAAGAGTCTACAATTACATTAATGTATTAAGTTGTATTTGATTTTCTTTTTTGTTTGCAGGTAAAAGCCTTTACTTCTATTACTTCATGCTTCATATCTGCTGTAGAAGTTTTCATTTCATTTTACATAAAAGTGAATGTTTTTCTGGTATTGTAATAATTTCCCTCCAACAAATTTTAATATTTCCCTCCAACATATGTATGCATCTGCAATTATATTTAATAACAACAGATGCTGTTTAGCAACATATGAAATTTATAGAACAGATAAAACTAAGATGGTTGAAAATAACAATTGAAGCAAAATAGCTTTCTCTTGCTGTTTTCTAACTGTACTATGGTGTAAATGTGGGACAAAAGGAGTATATTTAAATTAGCATGGAGCAGAAGATGAGGTGAAAAATTCCCAGAATTCAGTAGACAGCTCAGCAATACCTCCTTTTGTCCCACATTTACACCATAGTACAGTTAGAAAACAGCAAGAGAAAGCTATTTTCCTCAGTTTGTTTTCCATTCCAAATATGCAATGTGGTAAGAGTTGAAAGTAGAAGTTCAATATTTGATACTTTTGGAGAATATCAACAAGTTTTCAAGCATGCAGACCCTTTTTCATTTCCCAAATAGTGTATGGACCTGAGCTGATTATTGTGAAGATCTTGAGGCAGTGGTAGCTCAGCGAAGGTACCGGTTCCATTTCAGAAGAGGCTAGGAAGGCAACTGTAGCGGTAGATGTGATTTAGGAAAGAAATAGAGAAGAAAGAAGAGAATACCATTATAGCACTGCATAAATCCACATTTTGCCTACATCTTGAATAACTAGTGGAGTTTACTTTCCATGTCAAAAGGGTTAGAACAGAACTGTGAAAAGGTCCAAAAAGGGCAGTTAAAATGGTCATGCATACAGAAAAGTATCTGCTTGGGTGACAGCTAAGTTAGCTATGAAGATATGTTAAAAATCTGTAGAATAATTACTGACAGATAAGAATTCTTTATTTACTCTTCCTTCCAGTACAAGGATTAAGGACCCTCAGATGGCAAGAGCCAGGACAGGACAGATGAAAGCAAGCGCTTTGTCCATACAGTGTTTGGTTGTGATCTGAAATTCCTTGCCAGTGGATGTTGTGGATGCTACAGATTTGCATAATCTTAAAAGGAGACTGGACACGTTTATAGTAGAGAAATAAATTGAAACAATTAGCAGAATTTGCAGAGTACTAAATACACAGAAACCAAGTGCACCTCAGGAAGTGATTGAACTAGAAATAAGTGTACATTTGAAGAGTATTTTGAAGAGGGGTACAAAATCATATTCATATATATAATAATTTTTTATATATGTATATATTTGCTCTGTTCTTTGGCATCTACCATTGGCCAGTTTGAGACAGGATTTAAATCTGGACTTCTGGTCTAATTCATTGTGGTTTTTCTTACACACACATTTTCAAACTTGTTCAGGTTTGAAGAACACTTGTAATCTAGAAAGCTGATCGGATTATTTCAGTTATGTTAGTTGGTGAAATAAAATATGTTACTTCAACTTGTAAACCTTGTCCTGCATATGTCCATAGACCATCATGGTAAAATACCACCAGATATCAAGTACTGGAGGAATATATCAAATTTATACTTGATAACAAACTAAATTGGTTACTGAATTGAAGCATGCGTAGCAACACTGAAGAACAGTCTGTTGATTTGTAGGTAAACACTCTCCTATTTGCAGACTTTTGTAAAGCTTATTGATTGAAATTTATGTTAAAGGCAATGAAATGATTATATATGTGTATATCTCATTAATGTAGGCATTTCTGTTTGAATTTTGGCTAGAGGCAGATTTAACCCACGAAATAAAAAAAAAAAGTGTTTTTCTTTTCTGTTTTTAACAGAACAGTTTATTAGCTTTAGCATTGATTGAGTTGTTTTAATGATTCATTATAAAATTAATTCTATTTTATTGAATTCTTCTAGAATTGAATTCCTGCAAAAAATGGTGGTGGTGCACATCTGACCCATGGTAATACCTTGAAAGAGTATGAATATTTCAGCAAACTGCCTCGTCAGTGGTTCCTCCTTAGCATCTGAAGTGCATGCTGCTGCTGTTAATGGAGATAAGAGTACCCTCCAAAAGCTAATAGCAGGTAAATGTTTTCATTGCAGATGTATTTGGATTACTTCAGAACTGAAGCTTTTCGGTTTTGACTGACTGCTTTGATCTTTATGATACGTTTTCAGTTATTGATTGTGTGTATTTCTATAATAAATGTAATCCTGGAAATACGATTTTTTAAACTTTTTATTTCCTGTTGCCTTTGATTAGTACTTCTGTGTGAAGTAAAATAGAAAGTTGGTGATACAACCAGAAGATTTATTCAGAACTCCTGTTTCAGAAAATTTGAAATTCTGGAGAACTGTTTTGGGCTGAAATATTTTGACTGCAATTCCTTATTTTTGGAATTGCTTTTGTGGGAAATTTGGTAAACTTGTTTTTACAGATCATTTATTATAGTTAATGAGGTCTTGTTACTGTGTAGTATTTGGGGACAAAGTGAGCCAGCACTATGTATTACTTTGATTCTGATACACTAACAAAGTTTCTCAAGACAAGTTAAAGGTAATGAGAGAGTCTGGTCCTACTGAGGTTGAAGTAAAAAAAAAAAAATCCCATTCATTAAAAAGCCCAGGATTTTGCCTTTTCTCTCTGACCAAGAACTGTATGGCATTCCAGGTTAGTAGTTTTCAAAAGCAACATATATTCTGTGTTCCAAAACCAATCTTACACGCATTTGGAAGGCTGGCATATGGTAGGTGAAGACTTTGATTTTCAGAGTTTCTGATTAAATGCAATTCCAGCTGATACTGTAGAGGTTTTATTTTATTTTTTTGAAAATCCTATTCCTGGAGCTTCGTAAGGGTGAAGAACTGTGAAATAGTCTTAGTCTATATTTCTGCCATTAACTGTCAATTTTAATGGGTGTAGAGGATTTAATGGTAATCACATTAAACCAACAGTCAGATTTCTTTCTGCATCTTCTGCTGACCTGGGTTTAAGACAAGACATTAAGCTATGTGGATCTATTCTCTCAGCTGTACAGAAAGCAGTAAATCAAAAGACAGTTAGAAGTGATTTGACTCAAAACAGGAGAAAAAATTTGAGGGTGTTGTTTATTAGAGGCTCCAGTGGTTGAAATAAACTATTTTTTGTTGGGCCTTCAACTTTATTTTGTCATATGATTGCTCCAGAATACACTGTTTGCATTTAATGCTATCTGTTCGCTCTTTCGTAGAACATTTTATGAACAATGGATGAGCAGTTGATGTGGCGATGCTTCTAGAAATCAGTGGGATGCAACCACAAAGTAGCTTTAAATACCTTGTTTTTTTTAAAAAAACCTGCTTGCATGTGGAGGGGGAAAAAAAAGTCTGAGCTTTCAAATCCTGGCTAACAATGAGAAGCAACAGCATAGAGTTTTTGCTAACTTTGGTTTTAGTTCAGTTTTTGTTAATCTCCCAGCCAAAAGATGTATTTTGAAAACACAGAGGAACAGGTACTTCTGTGTTGCTGGTACACCTTGTCAAATATACCACAAAACAGCCCTTAGAACCAGATAAGGAAATCACTGTTCTGTTTATGTTGATCATGCAGCAACAAAATGAAAATGCTGTGTGTTATTTTTACATGGGAGAGAAAACTGCATAATACTTACAGCCTTTGCTGTAATAGCAAAATTTGGCTTTTCTGCTTTGTCGTGTTTTGACAGGATATGACACAGACCTTACTTTTGCCAGGACAGGACTGGAAAAAAAAAAAAAAAAAAAGTATTGCCTAGCAGAAGAAGAATGCATCAGAGTAATATTTTTAGCTGTTTACAAGGCACTGTTGAAAGTATAACTCGATGCCAGAAGTAAATTGAGCAATTGATATTACTCACTGAACTTCATGACTGCACTTAGCAGCAACATCTAATTCAGGACAGTACTTCAGTGTTAGGTGTGTGTATGCTGGATTGCTTAACAACATTCTCCGAACACATCCAAGCTTTACGTCTTGATTGTGTAGCTAGTGGTATATGCAGTAACATAAAGTCCGTCTTTCTCCTTTTAGGGAGGGCTTTTAACCCCTAAATTAATTATTACTTGCTTCTTTGAGTTTTTCCTATTCAGTTATTAACAGACGAGGGGCATAGAGGCTGGTTAAACAGTCTCTCAGAGCAGCCCTCTAACCTGTTTGGTGATGATTCCTTTTCCTGTCTGCAGTTTGATGGAATGTGTGTGACTTTATAAAAACATAAACGTTGTATTTGCATATAATTCATGAGTATGGACGCATGTCTAATCTGCTGCCCAATAGCCTGTGATTTTAAAGGAACAGGTGTTTGAAATAATACAGTGTGTTCTGGATACTATGTTGCTTTTGGACATCCCCTGCCAATAAGAGGCATGGCTACACAGAATCACAGGTAAGTAGAAAATCTGTATAGAGAAAGTGGGTTTTGGAACAAAGTGTCCCTGTATGTTAACCACTGCTCATGCTTAATTACAGGATTTTCTAAGTGGCTTCTGGGTTGAATACCATAAAGTACAATATGTGCCAAATGTTTATTGTATAAGCAATGCTCTAACAAAATTGTGCTAATTGTTTGCATCTCAGTGAATTGCCTAGTACTGTATCACATTGTTTTAGAATGGTATGATCTCAGGCTTTGGGGAATACTCACAGTATTTTGTTTTCTATGTTTTATACAACATTGAACATGTCTTTAATTAACGGTTCTTCAGTGTTAAAACCCAGCTGTATGATTTTAATCCTAGGCAAATAAAAGGAAGCAAAAATTAATTTTGTGTTTGAAGGATTGTTTTGCCTTTAATGCTTTTATGTAGAGTTTTGGGAAGATGCATCTAATTATTTTAATTACTTATAAAAACAAAATAATGTGTTTAATAGTCGTTATACTGAAGTGTCTGTTCAGTCCAGATCCTCATTCTAAACCTCTTATGTATTGCTTGTATGCTAATGCTTCTAAATCTCTGATACGATGTTTCATTGTAAATGTTAACTATAAAGTCTGGGTTGCAAATATGCAGTTGCATGTTTTTGTTTGGTTCTCCTTTCTGTTTCTCTTCCACATTCTGCAATATAGGAGGTTGAATAAAACTCAAATCAAGTATTACAGAAGGCAGGATTCTTGCAAGTAATAAGAGATGGCCTGTCTTTTAATAACTAAGCAGAATTCATGTCCTCCTCCTGCTCTTTCTCTTCTTCTGGTTTGAAAAATGGGTAGAAATGTTAGAGTCTAATGTGACTGCTTGCATAGACTGAGGAAGTGATGAGGTATGAATATGAAGGTTAAATTTGGGAATTGGGCCACTTGATTCTGTGGTGTTTGTGACTCTGTGGGCAACAAGTTTATGGAATGCATAATCTGGAGGGTGAGGATGTTGATCCTGAAAGGGGAGGATCAAGCAAACTTCCTTTCTTGGGAAAGAGAATTTAATTTTGCCATGGCACATTTTAGATATGCTAATATGTGAATGTTTTGAAGGCTACCTGTGCTTTCTTGATTGCAGAAAATAATATTTTACTGCAACTGTGAAGTCCACAAGGTGTTGCAGTTAGTGAATTTCATCAACATAGTCCCCCTTAGCACCTCATGGTGATATAGTAGCTCCTAGTCCTTGTCCTGTCTCATAGCCTGAGCACAGAGACACCCTTTTAGGGAAATGCCCGCAGGACTTTAACCATTTTAAGTGTTGTAAGCAAACAAAATAATAACAAGAAACCTATTGCTAGCTGAAGATAGTTCCTTTACCTTAAAAACCAATACAGCATCTTCAGGCAAATTACTGGCATCAAGTTTTGAATGTTCATTTATCACTCAGACTGTATGCAAGTCATGGAAACTCAGTCATCAGCTATATCACTCTTTGGGAGCTGTAAATGAAAATAGATGTCTGTTGCTCTGCTTAGTTGGGTTGTGCTTGGGCTTTAGGCCATTTTTGTTCATCTTGATCTTACCCATTTCTTTCTTTTAGTCTCTAAATTATGTATATCTTCTAACATTATATAGCAGAAAGGAACTTGGAATTTGAGGGAGGGGGCCTAGTTTTGCACATTGCTGATTTAAGAACAAGTATTATCTGAGCATAAACCATGTGTGTGTGTCTTACTGGGAGAAATGCATGTTTATGTATTTATTTTTAAAAATATATTGCGCAAGGCCCATCAGCTTCAAAAAATGTAAGACACTGTTGAGGCTGTGTTAACATTGAATGGTGAAATATGGTTTAGTGATGTCTAAATTACCAGGCTGAACTAATACTGGAAGAGCACCTGACTGTACTTAAATAATTAGAGTAACTGGCTTGTTGGCTGAGAGCAGTGTCATGTTAAATTACGCTTTGGACCTCAGTATTTATGTGTTGCTGCACAGGACTGCGTGGTTGTTCATAACTAGCTTTGATGTTTCTATACTATACTCCATTGACTGGAAAAAACATTTATTGTTACCTAAATATTGAGATGTAAGACACCAACAGCTTCACAATATGTACATATAACTTTTAAAATATTTTTTCTAATAGTAAAAGAAAGATTTATCTTGCAACTGCATCCAGTTTGCAATGAAATTTTAATGCTGTGAAAAGAAAGTCTAGCAAAGATTTTTTACAAGTTAGGGAAAACAAAACTTTTGGATTTCCCTGTTTAACTCATATGTTACATTTTTAATTATTTTCTGATGGCCATGGAATTAATTAAACAAGTGACATAACTTTTTTTTTTTCCTGTATACTACTTTTTAATGCACTTAGTAAATATTACAATTTGTAATTATGAGCAGAAATAATTACAGTCTTCAATAATGAAAATAAGATGACAGTTAAATGAATATTTAAAGACAATACACGAGCTTTTTTCTCAAAAGTGTTAAAATTGGAATTTTAAAACAGTATGAAATATGTAAATAGTGTTAGTAAAAAGCACATTACATTTATTTTTTTTACATCAAAACGTAGTTGGATATAACAGGACATAAATAATAATCCAAAAATATTTGAACTTACACAGCTTGTAACTCCCCTTTAGAAACATTACAAATTATTTTTTTTAAGTCTTAAAGATTACTTTAAAAAATACTACCATAAAATTAAGCGGTTTCGATATCTCTTTTTAAGAATAATGAGTAAGATATAGCCAGTACTTTACCGTCTCCCATTCTAAGCAAAGTTCAGACCAGATTCTTACGCAGGTTTTATGCAAAGCCACGCCGAATAAAATCACTTGTGTAAATTTTCAAATTTTCTGTTGTTTTATTATTTGATCTTTCTTCTGTATAAAAATGTACTTTGGTCATTTATTTATTGAAAAAACTCTGAGACTCAGCTGCTATGCTCATTATAAGAAGATTTCTAATGGAAAAATGGGGAAAAGCTGACAAGGGTAAGTGCAGTTCCCAGTGGCTTATCTACAGAAGGTGGAGTTGTAGCTGTTCTGTATCTTCATTTATGCAATCATACAGTAGGAAAAGATAGCATCCTATGCAGTCTGGTTGAAGTTGTACAGAAACCAAAAGAAACGTACACATTTTTCTACATACATGGAAGTCTGTAAAAATTAGACAGAAAAACTAGGATGTCATGTGTTAAATGAGGCTATTTGTCATATGGTGAGAATGTAAAATTTGTGGAAGGGAAGGCATCAATGTCGACAATGCTTTTTCTGTATACTTAGTATTGTGAAATATCCATGAAAGCCATGTAGGTGAAGGAGTGGTGATATATTAGAAACCAAAGCAGAAAACAAGACTTGGATTCCAATGAGATTAACAAATGACCATATAAATCAATCTTAAACACCAAAAAAAATGCTTAATGATTGCATTTACAGGTCTAAATAAGAAACTATAATACCAACATTTTATTATTGTTCATCTGACCAGATGGTGATATGTGTGACATGCTAAGGGAGATCAGAGAGTCTGAACTGATAGGAAACACAATAATAAAAAAGGCTACTTTCATATGTTTTGTGTAAATTACTACTGAGGATATGATCCTAAAATTAGATTGTTAGAAATCGGTAATGGTCTGCCAACAGAAATTTTGGTGAATCCAGAACAGAACCAACTCTTGAGTTACTCTTGACTGCTGTGCAGGACCTAAATCCGTGTTACTAAGTGAGATTTTGTAACTCTTGACCAGAGTATACATGCATAAGCAAAGCAGCCAGCTATAGTTTTGTACTTCAAATATGGTGAAGGGAATTAAAATGAAAACACTTGCTACGAAGCATCTAAAGGTGAGTCTAAAGAGTAAACTCCTTGCTTATAATGTGAAGCAAAAAGAAAAAGTTTAGGAAGGTGAAAGAGAAGTGAGCATGGCTAAACAGCAGTGTGAAAGTGGGTGTGAAAAAGCAAGTCATTCTTCAAACACCAATCCACTAAAACTAATAGTTGTCAAGGTGGAGGTGTAGTCAAAGGAGACAAGGTCATGGATTAAGAACAAAAAGAAATTTTCTATATCTGCATTCACAGAAGAGTTCAGAAGGGTTCCTAAACTCTTTTTTTTTTTTTTACAGAGCAGAAAGAGTTTTTTTAATGCAAATGAAAATTTCTAAGCAGGAGAAGGTGTTACAGAATAAATCATGAGAATGACATGGTATTCACTCAGCAGTTTTAAAGGAACTTCAAAATGGAGTGAGTGAGCAAATGATTGCTCTAACTTCGAATATCCTGCTTAATAGTGCTTTTTGTGAGAGGCTTGGTTGGTAGGAAATGAATTTTAATTCTTGATATTCCCCTTGATTCCCATTTAATCTGCTTGACACTTCTGCTAGGTGAATCAATAGAAATTGATAATTAAGAATATAATTACTGGATACATAGATAATGATAATATGCTGGGAGAGAGTGAGGGTTGTGTTTGCAAAGGAGAAGCATGCCTCTGCTGGAGTTATTTTGAAGCATCAATCATGCAAACAAAGGAATATTGAAAAATTAACTTACCTGTTAAAATTCAATGTTCCTTGAGTAATTCTAGACAATGTTGCTACATGGAAGAGGTATTTAGAGTTGAGATGTGTAGGATAGTTGATACCCATGAATCTATAGGTGCTAGTTTCTCTGTGGTGACATAATAGAAATATGAAACTTTAAAGTGTAGGGTGCTTGGGTTTTTTCTTTGACTGTGAATAGGAATACAGTGGTTTGGGATTTTTTTGTAGGACCCCAGACAACTTATTTAGCTTAATTGCTGCCTTACTTACTTTATCAGTTCAAGAAAGCCCAGGAAGTATTTTAGTGGTTTCCATATTGTAAGGCGCTATGAAGTAAATGGTATTGATGTAATAGACACGTTTATGTTTTTTAAATAAACATTGCTGTGAGTAGGCTTCAAAGCTTGTTTTAGTTACAGTGTTTACAGGTTTCAGAAGAATTATTTGATTTATGTGCTGTTGATTTTTTTTAAAGTAATCTTTTCAGCCAAGATTTGTATAACTATTTTAAAATTATTTATAATTATGCCACTGCAGAATGTTATTTGTGGTAGGTGTATTTGTGGAACTAATGTTTTCTGAATGTACTTTTTGCTGTAAATATATTTTGAAATGTCCTATAAATGTCAGTAAAAATAGGGTAAAAAGTAATAGCTTTGACGTTATCTTATACTGCATTGCTTTCACTACCATGTTCATTTATAATATAACCTTTTAATAAAAATTACTACTTTTAGTTTGATAGCCACAGACAACCATTTTATGTGGTTTGGGGTTCTTTATTTTTAGGAAACGGTGAGCTGAAAGATAAAGAGGACCAGTTTGGAAGAACGCCCCTTATGTACTGTGTATTGGCTGACAGACTGGACTGTGCAGAGGCATTGCTGAAGGCTGGAGCTGATGTGAACAGAGCTGATCGTAGCCGAAGAACCGCTCTCCATCTTGCTGCACAAAAGGTAATTACAAGTACTTAGCCATTGTATAAATTTGTGGCATTTATAAAGGTTATAATGATTTTCTTGTATTGAGTAAGGATATTTTATTTTTAGAGGCTTTCACTATTTTAGAGGCAAATAATCTATGAGTTTTTTGAAAACTTGGCCAATCCTGAAGTAAATCTTTGGAGGCTTATTTTTTTGGGTTTTAGCATTTTTGCTGAGTACATTTGTAGCTGCCTGCATAGACAGTGCAATTTGTTGCTGTTTTAAGAATTTTTCCTTTGTAGGAAAAATAGTCCTTGTCTATTTTGGGATAGCCAGTTCTAAGTAAAGACTACATTTTGTACACTGATATTCCTTATGTTGTTACCATTAATTTCAGTGGAATTCAGGCCATACATTGTTAATTATTAATGCCCTGTCTGAGAATTTCAAGGATATGGAATACCAAATCATTTCCAGGACCAGGAGGGAAATGCATTACTGTCTGTTTTTCCTTCTACAATTTCAGTTTATAATACTGTCTAGTTAAATTGTCCCACTGGAAAAGTGCTAAAGGAAGTATTCAACAATAAAATAAAAGTAACTTAAAGCATAAATTCAGAGCTGCAATAAATTTTGAGCATGTTTAGGGCTGAGGGAAGTGTCCACAGTTACAGGAGACCAAGAAAACTGCTGATGGGAGAAGAAAAAAGGTGTGGTTGGCTAGCTAACCAGGATGTTTGAGTTCATAAACTGTGAAAAAGACTCCACAGAGAAGATTAAAAGCTCAAACTGAAAGCAACAGCTTTTTACTTACTATTTTACTTCTTATACTAAGTGTAAAACTGTAACTGCTCAAAAGTTAGAGTTGTGTTGGCTATGTAAGCTTTGGTACCAGTTAGAGTGCCTACCATGATTTTCATAGCAAACCATATTTTTTATAAAAAATTGTCACCTGTTCATAATCATTCACATTGTTCAAATAGCTTATATACTTTTTAATACACTCTGCAAGGTGTTTTTTTGTTTTACTTGAGTTAGGTTTACATAAAGGGAGCTATAGTATGGTCACAGTATTTAGTAGGAGCAACTGAATAGAGAATTGCTTGAGAAGATTACAATAAGGTGACATTCTTCAGCTACACTTGCATGGGAAACCTTAGGTACTGTGTGGTCTGTGTTAGTACATCCCTTATTGAGCATTAAATATTCATTTTTTAATTTTACAAATTCCTCAGGTAAAAATGTTAACTATTAAGAACTAGTGTGAATGCATTCTTGAAATGTGTACAGTAATGCACTACATTAATTGACTACCATCGTAATTAGTTACAGTAGGTTATAGTTGAATTGAAACAGGCAAATTCATTTATTTGGTTATATACCACAACACCCTGGTGAAATATTCTAGTCATCATCATAACCTTGTCTCCAGTGTACCAGGGTTAACTTCTATTTCTTCTATTTCTTATATTTCTAAGTGATCAGCTTACTGTGAAAGTTGTTGTTTCAAAGATAGGTATTTCATAAACATAACAATGCGAGAGACTTAAATTGCTCTAAAATGCTATACTTGCCTGGTGTTCATACAGGCTTTGGATTTTATGACCTGATAGGCAGATTAACATTTTAATCATATTAAAAACTTAATTTTAAAGATTAGATTTTCCCCAGCATTTAAAAATACATTTTAACAGATGAAACCAGTATAAATATCCATAAAATGAACATGCAGATAAAGATTTAAACAAGAATTTATAATGCAACTGTTCAAGGCAAGAGATATTTTGCCTTGGCATTATAACCATTAACTGCATGTGCTCTCCATTTCCTTTATGTCTCACTGCAATCATGAAAGGGCAGTTTGTACTATGTGATACTTGGACCATCTTAGATGTGGTTTCCGTTGACAGTGCAGCTGAAGAAAAAAAAAAAAAAAAAAGGTACTGTCTTTACCCCGTGCTGTTTTAGCAGAAGGTTTTATTCAGTCACCCACTTTTTGTGTAATGTACTAGATAGATGTGATTCATCCCACAGGCCACGTAAGTGCTTGTACCATCATAGTGCTGGGGTGGCAGAAAGTGGTCAGGAGAGAGCCTTGCAGCTGCTTTGCATTTGGCTGGCTTAGCTGTCCTGTAAAACTGCACTCTGTGTCTTCTGAGCAGTTACTCAGTATTGATGTCAGGTTACAAAATTAACATTTCACGTGTGTAAAATTTTGTCTTCAGTCTTTCCTTGTTAACATTTTAAGATCTGCATTTCTGTCATGAATGCCTTCTGCAAAATATATAAAAATAAATTCAAAATAACTTCATGTTCCCTGCAGTTTTGGCTGTTTAAATAATGTTTTGTATTCTTCTTATTCCTCTCTGATAATTTTGGTTTATATTCTAATTTTATTTTTTTTTTTTTATTCCAAAGTAAAAAAAAATAATTCCTGCATAACCAGTACTGAAAGTTGATTTTCAGATAGAAACGGAAGAAAGCTGTGTTGGTTGATCATGAATCTACATATTTACCAGGACCAGTGTATAGTTTTTGTTGTGTTCAAGATTGTGAGTCAGTCACTGTCCTGTGCTTCATCAAATCAGCTTTAAAGGACTTTCCAAATCTACATTCATTTGTAGTCACAACTACAAGTTGTTTAGAATAATGGTGCTTGGAGATTCAGATTCTGAAATTGCACTTGAGTTGCCTCCTAATTTTCATTTTCTTTGGAGAGAGAAGTTAAGATTAATGCTCAGACCTTTGCATTCAATCAGTGAAGAGGCAAGAAAGAGAAGACACTTTTCCACACATGTGTTCTCAACTAAAGAAGATGGATGTAAAATGAATTAAGGCTTCCCGAGTAGGAACCTTCCTCTCTAGGATTACTTTTGCCATTTTTTACTGTCTCTTGGGAGTGCTTTTGAAACACCTTACTCATCAGATCGCAGCAGACATCGTGAGGGCCAGAGTTTGTTGCCAGCATATTTGAGTCTCTTTAGGTTATCATTCTACAGCCTTCTTTTACATGTCCCTTTGCAGGTGCTCCTCTGAAACATCTTGCAGTTGATTTGACTAAAATTGGTCTCTGCTATATTTGGGAGCCACAGAACTGTCTTGGAGGCAAAGGATTTGTGAGAAGATACTCTTCTAATGTCAAAGAGAAAGAATGAGTTAGCCATCTTGGACAGAGGAAGCTGAATGTCTTCATATGTTTAGATTCAAGATGGTGACTGTCCCATTAGTAATCCTGGTTATCGAAAGAAAAATTGGTTTCATTCTCTGCAGGATGCAGACAATCTTGCTTCTTTCCCTCAGTATCAGCTAAAACTGCAGCCAGTGTAAGGTTCTTTTCTCTCCAGTATCAAATAACTCTGCTAAGGTATTGGTCAGTTGAGATGAAACTATTCCTGTTTTTCTGTCTGGAGAATTGACTGATGAAAGGACTACCAATTCATGTCTTTCAGTCCTAGTAAAATAGCTTATTTGTGTTTTTTGATCCCCATTATAGAGAAAACATTCATGTGGCATAGCCCTGAATTCAGTCATAAATCAGTATTAAGTAAATGAATTAGGACTCTAATTGCCTTTCTTCTCTAGGATGGGTTTCTGATTGGATAGGACTTAAATAATAGCTGTAACATCGTTTTATTAACACTTGCTTAACTAGCTTCTGACTACACCTGTGGTTTATAAACCTGGCTATACTTGGTGGGTGTATACATATACATGTACATACCAGTTCTCTCTTATATTTTATTTTTAACTTCCATCTCTTTGCAAGTTTTATACTTCCAGCTGTTGTCTGCAGAATTAACAGACAACATTTGCTTGTCATGTTTGTTATTACTGTTGCATAAGGATTTTATTTTGTAAAAGTGTTTCTTCCAGTCCTTCAAAGTGCGAACAATCACATCCAGTGTTCAAAACTTAAAGTCTCTTTTGCAGATAATAGAGAGTTCTTCCTACATTATAGGTAGAGATTATAGCATTACTCATATGGTCATACAAAACATTATCTGAAGTTACAGACCGTCTATCAGTATTTCCTTAATCCTTCATCTTTTCCTAACGGCACCTCTAACTCCTTTTTAAGTAGTTACTTTGTAGTAACAAAGTTACAGTTGTGTAGTTGATCTCTTACCAGATATTCTGGTGCACTCAAGTGCTTTTGCTTGTTGTCTCACAAGTGTCCTATCAGAACTGTGAGTTGTCAAAATAGCTCTACTTTGCTTTGGATATCAATAAACAATACCAAAATTTCTGCACTTGATATAAATGCTGTTCACAGTCTCTGCCAAAAATATTTCTGATATCATAGCTAGGCAGACTAACCCGTGCTGTCCCATGTTCTTTCAGTTCCAAGGGTTTCAACATAGGTAAAAAGTGAAGGTGATCTGATTTCAGTAACCCTGTCTAATGCAGTTTTAATATCTAGGTTATCTTTGCCAGTTAACGAGGAAACTGAGGTCTCAGAACTCAAAGTTGCTATGTCGTCCTTGTCTTGCCATGCTTTGTCCAAATGACTTTTGTCACTGGAGCATGTCTACAAAGCAGTAGTTACCTGGAAAGATGTATCAGAGTCTCAACAAATGGGTTCTTGTAATCTCTGTGTCTTCATTAATGACATTCTGGACTATTTGCAAGAAGTAAGAGTTAGGATATTCTTTTACTTATTGGTCCACCTAGACACCTTTCTTCGATAGCAGATTAAGCATAAATGTTCTCACCTTTTTCTTTGCAGAAAGTTCCTGAAGTTAATAAAATAAGGTCAGAAATTTCAGCTGTTAATAATACTTGAAATAGCAATGCTTTTTGAAAATAACTGCAGTTACACAATGATATGATAACCTCTGAGTGGTTGCTTAATGATAATAATTATGTTCGTTAGGGTAAGTCTTCCATTTGGTGATAGACATCCTTTGTATTACAGCTTTTAAGCTTTAGACATCTGTTGATCTCAAAGATTTTTTTGCATAAATAAGGAGCTAAAAAGTTAAACTCTTTGCTTAAATGTAACAAATATATTATTTGATGGAAATATTAAAAAT